ATATATATATATATATATATATATATATATATATATATATATTCTGTTTTATGTTTATGATTATATTTTATTACTTTAAAATGTTTAAAATGTAAGTATTGTTTACTTGTAAGTAATTTTTATTATAAATATAACAAAAGATATTAGGAAAAAACTTTAAATTAAGATCATAAAGATTAACTTTTCTCTATTACAATTTATATATATTTTATATAGTCAGCGATATTATTGTGATTTACAGATTATAGCCAAAAAAAATAATATAGATTGGTGTAATGTTCCGAAATTAATCGATGTGCAAAAATGTCTTAATAAAACACTCGAAGAAATGACAGCGATTGTTATGGCCAATTTGAAAGAAGAGCATTATACCCTCGAAGAGGTATGCATGTTGACCTACGTGTAGGCACGTTTATTTATAGTGAAATATAAATTAGAGCAGATGTAAAAAGCATGTACTTGAAATTTTATTTATTGACAACTTATAATGTCTATAATAATACAGTAATACTTCGAATATAATTTATCTATATATATATATATATATATATGTCAAGTCAAGATTATTCGGTAGCTTATTTTAAAAGTAACTAGAGATCATTTATTATCGAATTTATAACTTTTCAGTAGGTTGTCCTGTTTTATTATAAAATAGTTCAATTTGTATTATAACTATTCCATAAGATTTTTTTACATTTTTAAAATAGCATTTTTATAACATATTTAATGAAAATGGTACATTTGATATTAAATATATATTTTATTTTATTAATTTTACTATTAACATATTTTATTATTAATATTATAGGCTAATTTTTTATAACATTAATTTATCAAATTTTCTTATCTCCTACTCTTATTAATAAACAATAATATTTAAATTACTATGTTCAAATTTTATTATAGTATAAACAGTTCGTAATTTAAAAAAAATTTAAGGAAGATCGTTAATTTTTAAATAATTTTGTAGTTACAAAAATAAAATTGTGCACATTAAGGTAAATATTCCTACAAATATATTTCAATTAAACTATTTGGAACTAGTATTAATTTTGAATATGATCATATTTCTAAATAAGTTTGAAAATTCTTAATTAAATTCTGTTTTAGCATCATTTATAATTTATAATTCCAAATATATATTTACTTTGAAATAGCTTTGATAGGCCTAATCGCATAAAACTATTTTAAATTTAAACATATTTTTTCGTATATATATTTATTATATAATTTAGTAACAACTCAATGAGTTCTAAGAGCGCATTATATTCTAAATTTCATATTATCTTAAATATTAGTATTAAATATAAGTATTGGAAATATTATAAAATTTTTACCATTATGTTTTCATAAAAAACAGACATTACTCTAAAAAATTTACTATATTTAAATGGTAATATGTCATTATAATATATCATTAATATTTTATATTTCATTTATAGATATGTCAAATACTTGAAACATCTCTGGATGAATTGAAAGTAATATCCAATGTACTCCATTATAGAACGCAAAAATTCAAATTAAAACAACGAGCACTCCACGTTTTTCAAGGTATATTTGAAACTATTATTTTATTTATTTTATATCAATTTCTTTTTTTTTTTTAAATATTCTCAAACATATATATTGTTGATAGTTATTGTAGTTGTTTCTTACATGAGAGAAATTGTCATAATATTCATATATTTATTACAATTATCTTAGTTATGACATTTTTCAATCTTAATTCGTTTATGTGTCAATTAAACTTATATAAAATAAATAGTATTTATACAAAGTAATACTAATAGGAGGTATAAAACCTGTTTGTATAATGAAAAAAATCAACAATTATTATTAAACCTTAAAAATTTTTTTTAACTTGATACTTTTTACAAGTAGAATATAGCTAAATTTCAAATTGGATATTATTGATATTATTAAAATTGACCGATGTTGTATTTTTATAAAGTTAGAATGTAGAATCGTCAGCAAAAATCAGCACTAATAAAAAACAATAATTTGTCTGAACTATAATCATTTTTGGCATTTGTTTATTTACATACGTTTAATATAATATTAAATTTATAATATCATATAAACAAAATAAATAAATGCCAGTTGTATTTTAAACTTATATTGATAATTTCTTAGTTTTTGATAGTTATTTCGTATTTTAATTTGTTTTATAATTTTTACTAAAAATAAACTAGAGAAATCTTTAGATAAAAAAACATCTTGCCTAGTTCATAAATTTTTATATCTTTGAACATGTGCCTATTTTAAAATATATAAAATAATATGATTATATTATTAGATAAATGTTTGAAAATATTATTCATTTGATATATTTCATTTATTTCATACTATACTATTCATATCACATAATTGTATTAATGCAGGTTTCACCGTTTTTCACCGTAAATTCAGCAATTTTTACCTATTAAACAAAATATAGTTTGAAACTATTAGTTATGTTTGCCAAGCGATTTTCTTATTGAACGTATACTAAGTTTGTTTAAAGAATACGAAATGTACTTCATAGATTTAAAATTTATTTATAATAATGCAATTAATAAATTTTTTAACTTACCCTTTTGATATTTTACACTTTGTTTTATGTTTTAATATTTTCCTTGTAATGTAAAAAAATATATTAACATATTAACTAATCATTTATAAATCCATATTTATCCTTTTTTTTACTATATATTTATTATTATATATTATTATTATTATATATTATATATTATTATATATTATATATTATTATATATTGCACCAAAACAATATATTAATAATGAATTCATAAGAAATAATTACATTATATTTTATTTATATATTGTACTTTATCAAATTCCAATAAATTTTTAAAATACATATGTGCAATCTATTGAAATTATTTCTAGAAGCTGCAAGAGTTGCAATGTTCCAAGAAATTTGCGAACTTGAAGACATGGATGAATCGACACAACTGTGTCAACTTGGCAATCTTATGACAAAAAGTCATCAAAGTTTAAAGAATTTGTATGAGTGTAGTCATCCTAGGATTGATACACTTGTTACTAAAGCTATCGAGAGTGGAGCTTTTGGAGCAAGATTAACAGGTGCAGGGTAAGAATAAATATGAGTTATGTTAAATTCTACACTATAATCATTATTGTCTAATAAAATCTAATGCTGTTTCATATTTAACCCCTGATTTGTTAATTTTCGTAATAGTAAATTGACTATTTCTAAAAAAAGTTGTTAAGAATTACAAAAACAATATTTATCTAATACTCAAATTAATTTTTATATATTTTGAAATCATTTATTTGCTGCAATATATAAATCAAATTTATAACTAATAAAAAAATACATTCAATTATATTTTTCAATTATATCTTAAATTATAACTAATTTTATTAGTTCTAGAAACTGGATTAAATATATACTGAAAACTATTTTTAAATTATTTATATTATCTAAATATGTATACTTGAAAGCAAAAATAAAATTACGTTTAAATAAATAAAATAAAATAACATGTCTTTGTATTTTATACAAAGAAAATATTGAATTTTCTATTTTAAATACACATTTTTATTTTGCGTTTCATATCTTTTGGTATTGTTATTGTTTTTATTATACGCAAAATATTATTACTTTTACTCTTTAATATCATTTTTTAATTTTCGTTATTATTTTCCACTACTATTTTCGTAATCTTTCCGTACTTTTTCTCGTCTACTTTTATCTTTTTTTTATCTATAACAGTGAAAAATTGTTTTAATATTTGTTATACAGAACTCCAATACATGTATATTCATTTTTGTATGAATTAAAAGAAATCTTATTAGTATATTCTAATGTTCGAAAAAAATAATGCAGAATTGAGAAAATTAAAGACTAAAGGACCTATATTTTTTTATTTCAATTTTCTTTTATTTTAATATCCTATAAATTTCCTTTTTTTACATTTTTATTGCGATAAAGTTTGAATATAAAATTTCTCTACACTTTAGACGTGCTATTTAAAATTATTTAATCATGAATTTATAAATAAGTATTATGTTCAATTCGTAATATATTATTATAAATCTATTCTAAATATTTAAATATTTAACCATTTAAATAAAGAAAATTATATTATTCATAGTTTTAATACTATTGATGAAATTATTTTGAATAACTGTTTAGCAATAATAATTAACTATTATATAAAAATCTTATGTTGTATATATATATATATATATATATATATATTATTAGGTTCTGTATTTTTCATTTTTAATAATCATAATTTCTTTTCATTTAATATTTTATTGAATTTAAAAATATATTTAATAATAATATTACTTTATTATTTGCTGACAGCTGGGGTGGTTTCGTCATTGCAATAACAACTGCTGAAAAAGTTAATGATTTCATGGAGAGTTTAAAAAGTGCATTTTATTATAACAATGAAGAGTTGAGGAATACTGATTTTTCAAATACTATTTTCAAAACAGAACCTAAAGAAGGAGCAGGTATTATTATGTCATCGAATAACTCTTGCGATAAATTAAAATTTGTATATATTTAATGGAATAAGTCTTAATATATCTAAAATATAAATACTAAATTTTATAATCATTGAAAACTAAAATTAATATTATAAATACATATTATAAATACAATTAAAATTATATATTAAATTTATAAAGTGTAGACATTTATTATTTTCTTAAATAAATGACATAGAATAGCCCTTATATAATGATGAATTTCTTATTGTAATTAAAATTATAATTATAATTAAAAACAGTTTTTACTTTTGACTTATATTGTTCTTATATACTACTCACATATAAATTAATATGACAAAATATGTTTACTTAATCAAAAATCCAAGACTATGATTTTTTGTGATAAAACCGTATTATCATAATAGTATTTAACACGAATAGTTTTACATTATTTCATCTTATTCAAGCCTTCAGTTTTATAATTAAGTCATTATTTCATCCAATTAATTATAATATTAATATTAATAAATTAATAAGATTACTTAAGATTAATTATTTTGAGTTCTTTCCAGTTTCCATTTAAGCCGTGCATATAGTGACTGTAATTCAGATAATTAATTTTTTTATAATCATAATTGTAATCAACGACTATCTCCTTCATGTATCTTATATTACTATCTTAATATTCAAAATTGATATATTATCTATAATCTCATCTTTAATAGTAAGCATACAGCTTCTTAATATATGTTGCCAGTAGATAATTGAACAAAATTTTTCGTTTATATAATTTTAACGTTTTTATTCTTTTATTTTATCTAACATGAATTTATAATTAAACGATATAATAAGAAAGAGTATGAAGTCTTACCGCAAAGATACCAACATATGAGCATTTACCAATTACAAATAATACAAATATTCTATTTATATAGGAATCAGTGTATTACAAAATTTCCCACGTATAATATTTGGAAAAAAACTTAATTTCAATCAAATTTTAATCAAATACATCAAGTATATGAGCCTAGACTATATTCTTTTTATTTATATACGTTTTAAGTTCTTTATAATTCGTCATAGTAAAGGAAACTAAAGTAATTGCAAAAACTGTTTACAACATGTATACTGAAGGGAGTAGTGAAATAAATTGAAACATAACATTGATATAAAGTTATTTCATAACTTTTAATAAAATTATTTTTAAAAACTGTGCTATTATATTGTTAATAATTTTTATTAACAAATCTCTATATTATGATTAGCTTTAAAGTATATTCTGATAATAAAATTCACAATTGTTAATCTTACGTGTATCAACAAAATAATTCTAAAATATTTTAAACATTTTCTAAATATTAGATTAATTATAAACATATAGTAGATATATTAAATCAATAAAATAATTTTTTGATTAGGAGGTAAAAAATCATATAAATTAAAATAATTCTTTTAATCTTTATTTTGCTAATATAAATAAAATAATTTGGAAATTCAATGTACAAAGTTATTACAATGTTATAAATTGTATTGTAATTATAATGAATTTACTCTATATTAAAATATCTGAAAATATTTTCTTTAAAGGGGACCGATATAATACATTATTTATGTACATGAAAAATATAAAAGTTCCAAAATAAACGGTCTGTAATACGCAATACCAATATGGTAATTTACAACATTAGGATCACCTAATGCTACTTCCGGACATATTCCTCTGTTAATAGCTATAATGCTATTTGCATTCAAAAGAGGACCACCGCTGTCACCCTAAAAAATAAAATAATTATTAGATCATTACAAAAAAATGTAGGAAAAAAATGAAGGTAATTTTATTAAAGTTCATATAAAAAACCAATTAATTTGATATGATTTAAAATTTTTTATATGTATGAAATAAATTCTATATAAACATAAAATTAACATTAACACAATTTCAAATAATTTTTTATATATAATAGATATATAAAAATATAATTCATCATTCATATATCTTTTTATATAAATATTATCAAATATAAATTTTTATATGAAAATATATGAATAACTCAATATATTTTATGAATTAAAATCATCAATATTAATAATGTATTAAAAATACGTATACGTAGATATTTGTGATCTTTTTAATTTTACTACTCTCTATGATTCATGATTAAATTCTTCTGTTTATTAATTTTAATTCGAAATATAAAATGCCAAAAATAACATTTTTTACAAAGGATGTTTTTATGAATATATATACTTATAATATTTAAGAATATTGTTAATCTTGTAATTAAGTTAATGAAAGAATATTGCTTAATATATAAGTACCCAACTTAATAATGCATATGGATTGGCAATAGTACAGACAGTTTGTTGTTCCTCAATATAAATTTCTTGATTCAACAATCTTCCTATACGACTTTCACAATTTTCTTTTGTTATGACACGTAGTGATACTGCTTGTAACCTATTATTAGCTACACTATCATTTTCAGAACCCCATCCCACTGTTTGAACAACTATGTTGTAAAAATCAGTATTGTGACCAGCCGAAATACGTGCCAAGTTAATCGTTGCAGGTACAATGTTCAATAACTAAATATATATTTAATTTAAAATTTGGAATTTTATTCTATTTTTAAATATTTTAGGTTAAGTGTATATTTAAATAGTAATAAATTGGTTGTATAGAAATATAAATTGAATTTAATGTAGCTTACACGTATAATAGCTACATCATTTTCCAAAAATTCAAGTTGGATTTCTCTTACAGTTGCCCATTGGTCGTAGGAAATCCACCAATATATAAAATATGCATTACCTTCATATAAATTTGTGGACCCAACGATTATTTGTATTCCTTCTGGACTTTCTGTTGATATACAGTGTTCAGAAGTTAAAATATGTTTTCGAGAGATCAATGATCCCATACATATGTGATCCATTTGGGGATCAGGATTCAAATGATTTATTCGCATTAAAGATACAATAAATGAAAATTCATTAGTTCGTGCAAGCCTGATACTATTACCAACTAAAGGGTTTAAACTTACAAATCCATATTGAGTATCTAATAAATATATAAAAAATAATAACTTCAATATTTTTAAACGAAATTGCAAATAATTTTGTTTACTTACAAAAGATAATATATTGTCCAAGTAAAATCCAAAATTGAACCTTCATGTTTATCAAATCTATATTAGAATAAATAGAAATAAATCATATAAAATATTAAAAAAATTTTCTAGTAAATTTGAACCTAACGATATGTAATTAATCTTATAAAATTTTAATATGTAAAAAGAACAAATATAAAATGAAAGTTATAAGCATTTTAATAAATACCCACTTTAATTTGCTATAAAAACGTTCCTCTTTCCATATGGCAATAATTTCTTATCGTTACATTATATTAGTAATATACTTATCCAATATAATCTTAATTAATAACACATGAAATATATATAAAAAACTTTGTTAAACAAATATTGTATCAAATATTTTTCATTTATAATTAAATATGATGTTAATAAAATATTTAACAATAAATAGTGATCTTTAATAAACAATACAATGGTTTATTTTTGTATGTTTCGTTTATATATATTTCTACATAAATATGTAAAAATGATATATAATTTTTACTTTTCAGATTTAAAAAAACTATAAATATACGAATATATTATGAATGTTTATAGTTTTGTAAATCCGAATAACATGCAAATTAGATGTACATGCAATGACTGAAATGGTTATTCACGCCAGTATGATTTAAATATTTTGAAAAATAAATTGAAGTGTCTAATAATCGAAACTATAAACTTTATCGAAAATTACTTAAAATGACATGCATTTTTTTAACATATGGATTTTCTATTCAATTCATTGGTTTATAATTATAAGATAATCAATTTATTAAGTTAATTAACCTTTAATTTTAATTTTATTAGTAATAATTACCTTAAATTTTAAATAAAATATTTATCCTATATAATATACACAAATTAGATTTACCTTAAATATACGAAGTTCTCACTACGAAGTTCCATGATCTCCGGATCAGAGATGCTGTTGCTGGAAAACTGCGCGCGCATCTTTGCAGCAATATATATTGGAGGCAAAGTGTTTTGAACGATCAGTCGGCTCTGTGGCATCACGTTGCGCGAGCTTTATAGCTTGAAACATGTACAGGCCCTCCTTGCGGTCCATCGTAATCACTTGTGGTACCGTAACAAAAAGCCAGCGCCGGTGTTGGTATAGAAAGTGACATGTCAATTATGCAATCCTGCTGCTGCTGGCGATCCGTGCGTCGCGGCAGTTTCGCCTGCGCTATTTACACTATGGTGAGTGTAAACGGTTAGATGTAGTTTGAAGCTTTATAAATGCAAGCTGAAACAACAGCTATAATGAAGGCACCTCGATGCGATGGATCATCGATAAAATTAAATTTCAACTTATGAATGTCAATTTTCTTATTTATTTTAAATATTCTTATTTACTTTAAATATTTTTATTTACTTTAAATATATTTATTTACTTTAAATATTTTTATTTATTAAAGCTATTAATATAATTAATATAATTACACCAATGAAATAAACACTCTAAACGTATATAGTTACTTTAATTACAAATATTTAAACGTAAATAAATATATATATGTATATTCTAAAAGTATATTAAAAATGTCAATACTTTCAAAAAAATTTCATTGTATTACAAACTATATTGTCATGAAAATTTTGTATATCATTGAAAATATCAAAAAGGGAATATTTAATTTTTACCATATGTTATATAGTCTACAAAAAACAACAAAATTATTTTTGTCATTTTTACTTATAGTAACGAATTTATTTAATTTATACTTAACTTGATATATAATAACTTTATATTAACTTATGCATACAGAAAATTTATAAATACATTTACTAGAAATTGTAATACACCTAGAAATTGTAACATATTGATATTTATATTTTCTCTTAATACAGTCCATAGATAGTTGTGATTGCTACTTGAATAATTATTTTTTAAAGATACGTCTTGTTTATAAAAATTAATGAATTGATATCTAAACATTTGTTAATTATAGATTTTTATTGAAAGTGTATTTATTATTAATAAAATCATTTTTAATGTAGAATAACATACTATTATAAATGTTTACTAATTATACATTTAAAAGTAAAATTGACAATAACATTATTAAGTAAAAATTGAAGTCTGTATTTCAAAAAGATTTTTAATTATTTAAGTTACTCGAATTTAAATTGATAAAAGTTGTCCAGTTAACTGATTATGATTCTAGAGCATTATGACTTTCAATTTCTTCTATATTAAAGAATCGGTTTAATATTAGTTCCGTATAACTAAATGTAAAATGAAAGTAATGTATAATTAATAGGAACATATCCATTTAAAAATTTATATAATACATTTCATATATAATTACGAAAACAGTAGTTAATAATTTGTATATACAAATTTTCTATTAATAAATAAATATTCTAATTTTTTGTTCACTGTACAGTATTTCCATAGTGAACAAATTGAAATTTTTATACTTTATTTTACAATTTGAAATATAAAAATAAACTTGTCTTTATATATAAAATATACATTTTCTTTCTGTCATTTGCTACTTTTATAATAATAGATAAAATATATTTTTAATTTTAAATATAATAATTAATAATTTTATGTTTAAAATCAAGAGCAAAAATCACTAATTATTAAGTCATTAATTTAAAAATGTTTATAATCTAAACCTTTTATATATTTTCTGATCAACAAATGTCATATACTATAAAATATTATTATATTTAAATCAACTACTTTTGTTCTATGCATACAATTTATTGTCTAGGTTTTATTGTTCATTCTATTAATTTTAATATTTATTTTTTGTTTATGTATTTAAACTATGCTATATAATTTATGTTATTTCAATTAAAATTTTATACACTTATTAATATAATTACTATTTGTTATTTTATACTAAAATATTTTAAGATATAACTTAGAAACTATTCTTTATCTATTAAAATATTATAACAATAGTGAAGCCAGCCGAATATTACCAAATATTGTATATTTATAATATATTCATTATATTATTTTGTTGTATGTATAATTCTGTATGGAAATTTGTTATTGCATAACTAAGAATATGTTACTCAAGAAATTTTTTAGTAAATAAGTTCCATAATTTCATTAAGAAAACTGTTATAATATTTTTAATAAATAAACATGTTTTGATTTGTCTAATTATATTTCATTTATCGTGATTCATTGTGGAGGAGAGAGGGTAGATACTGGCGTACGCGCGCGCTGTTGGCATGTGTAAATAGATAAATTATATGCATAAATGTACATAAATAAATAAATACAAACATGCGTATCTATGTGTGCATGTGTTTATTTATTAAAAATATAATTATATATAAGAAACATAAAATATAGAGCAAATGCTTTTATGTGCGTATGTACATATACAAATGTTACGTATAGTATATTATTATTATAATTTAACAAGTACTTATTTATTAACTAATTTATGTACGAATTTATTTTAACTACAAAGTTTAACTACAATACGTTTGAACATATTTAGAATAGCGCATATAAGTTTCGAATTTATATATGACGTGATAAAGGTTGATGAAATTCTGGATTTAGTACTACGATTAAGGCAAGGCAAGCTTTTAAGTTTGAAGCAACATGTATCCATAATCATCAGCTTATTTAATTAAGTTAATACCATCGAAAAACTGCTTATTTATTATTATTTATAAACATTATATTTTAATCTATACTAATAAACTTTATATTCATGCATTGTTCTTACTATAATATTAATTTCCATCTAAATTTTTTTCCAGAATATTTGTTACTTCAATAATTTTCGTAAATATATTTAACTTTATTTTTTAAACTTCTAGACTAAAATATTTTATTAATTGAAACCAGTATACGCTGTTATGAAATTGTGACTTTCTCTTGTTCATCGTTATAACTTTGCGAATATTGTTGGCAAATATTACTCCAAAGAATAGGTGTATAAGGTACACCTTATACATCTACAAGCTATGCATATCAATTAAGTTTTCGAAAAATATTTCAGAATACTACATATTATAGTACGTGTGGTTATGAAATTAAATTGATTTTTATAACTTGAAAAGATTAATGAAAATCCATGAATTTTACTGATTACTAAATATCATTGATAAATAACTAATAATATATAACTACAGAGAAACCTGATTAAAGAATGTAATGCTGCTTTATAAAAGGCATGGGAAACAAAACTAAATTAACCTTAATACCCATTTTATATTGTATATCAACTTAGAATGGATATTAATTATACTTGTACTATTTAAATTAATATAGAAAAAAATTATATTAATATATTCTTATAATCTTTTAATTTTAATGCAGAGATGTAAATTTATGATCAATTTTCATGATAATAAGGCTATAATTTTCAGAACTTATTATTAATAATTAAGAATACTTTATTATTAATATTAGTAAAAATTATTTTTAATAAATATTCAATAATTAATTTAATACACATTTTGGAAAATAATATACAAAAAAAAATTATTATTAAATTTTAATGGAAATAATATACAGTTTTTTTGTATTTGATAATATATATAAACAGAATCTACTTAAATTTTTAACAAAAAAGAAAATATTTTACTCTACAATTAAATTTAAGCAAATAATTGATTTGTTTTTAAAACATTCTAATAAAAAAAGATTATGATTATATAAAATAAAATATTAAATACAAAAAAATTATATAAAATAATAGTACTTAATTTTCTTGAATTTATTAAAGTTAATTATACTATTCTTAATATTATAATACATAGTAATGAAAAAGCAGGAAAAAAATTCAGAAACAGATGGTACATAAAATTATTTTTTATAACTATAATAAAAAATAAATATTAAAAATTGGTGATTTAGCTTAAAATACATTAAATAGTTGAAACCAATGAATATTATTTTCTATTCTTAATCTTATGTAAATTGTAAGTATTTTTATTTCCTACATAATTTAATATTTGGTTTTTTTCTAATTAAATTTAGAATTTTTAAAAATTCTAAAACAAAGAAATAGAAACAAATTTTAAAGAAAAATTAAAAACATACTTTTTAATCTTTCAAATAAAATTAATTACCGAACAAATAAATATACCATTAAATTTTTTACAAACGTGAGAAAAGAAAGAAGCACATGGAGTTCTCTGAACAGATAAATAATCCGATTTAGTTGAGTATATGTACGAATGTAACTAGTTCCAATACAATTATTTATTTGCTCTTTTCTCTCCCTTTGTCTCTGTCGGATTACAATATTATTTTAGTAACATTTCATTATTCTTTTCTTCTTTTTATACAACATTTTGTCCTCTATTATATATACATTCATTTCTCTAGCAAATTGAAAAATATTTTCACCAAGAGTTTGGATTCAATATTTATCCCTTAATACAAATAGTCACTATACAGTTTGTAATAAATACCACTGTGAGGAAGATGTTCACCCGCATTACTAAATTTCTTAAGTTATATATACAATTGATTCACTAGAAAAATTAGAGAACAAAAAATTAAAAATAAATAGAGTTCTTTTATAAGAAATAAGCATAAAATTAGTAAAATTTCATATGTATACGTGAATATAGGTAAACTGAACATTAATTGTCAGTACAATTATCTTCTGAAACAATTTATATAAAAAATTTTATATTAAACGTATAAAAGTATTTTTAAATAACAAATATGTTCAGATCATACTTTTATTCGTCTGATTAATAATGCTTTTTTATATTAGGAAATTATTCTAAATGTGCTTGTTAATTATATATAATATAATAATAATCTATATGCATAATAATATAATAATCGAAATGTGTTTGAATTAAATCATTTATAATATATTTCTTATTTTAAAAACTAAGAATTTATAAATGTGATAAAAATTGTAGCATTTTACTTTACTTTTAAGTAATGTAAAAAAACTGAATCTATTTTCTAAATATACAATTATTATCAAAATTAAAGAATATTAATGATATTAAAAAGGTAAAGAAATATGCAAAATGTATGTAAATAAAGAACGTATCTCGTTTCTAATTCTAATATCTCGATATTAGATCTAGTCTAATCTAGAGATCTAATCTAATTCTCACATCTCGATTAAAAAATAAAATAAAGAAACAAATATTAGTACATAAAATAATATGGATAAATCATAAATCGAGAAATTTAGTATTAATCCACACTTCTATTTCAGTATAAATCTATTTAGTTACATTCTAAAAAATATATTAGTATTTATATCATTTAAGATGTACACTAATATAAATACAAAACTGGTAGTATCTTTAATACTAAATTCAATATATTTAAATTCAATCATATAATTTAGTTAATATTAACATTAAAATATTTTCACAGGATTCTGTAGATTCTAAGAAACTTGTTTCGCAAAGTCTAATGTCATAAATTCTATACTAATTTAATAAATTCAAAGAAAGGATAGTATTATGACAATTTTGAGAAATCCAGGATTATCTAACAAAATGTTATTAGGAATAGTACATAAATAGACTCGACTGTTTTATAGCAATTATAGAGTTAAAATATATATATAAAAAAAGTTTTAAAAGTAAAATAAGTTATTTTATGTACATTAGAAAATCAAAATATTTTCATTCAAAACTTTATTAGTATAATAAAGAAATAGAATATGAAAAAACACAAACCAAGAAAATCATTTTCTCTATATACTACTCATATAGTAAATAATTAAAATTAAATTATTATTAGAAATATTTATAGTTTTTAACATTTCATTGATATGTCTCATTTACTAGTTGTCATATATTTTTATCTATAACTGTTCCTTATTAAAAATATATTTAAGTCCAACTAATTAATCAATGATACTGTACAACTCATCATTCCGAAAAAATTCCCTCTAGAAATGGAAATAATAGTAGCCAAAAAATCATAATTATTAATTAGGCAAATAACATACTCATGCATTATAGATTAAATTTAACCACAAGTACTCAAACTGATCCATTTTTTTAAATTAATTTAAATAAATCACAACTATAATTAATTTTAACGAATATTAATACTGTTATAATTATGCAATACTGATACAATATCAATAGTAAAAACAGTATAAGTCAATCGATTTTTTAAAAATTTTATATCACTGCTTATGATCTCTACATTTCACTGTCATAAATAAAACAATGAATAAGTTTCATATCATCCATAAAAATATGGATTTTCAATAAAATAGTCTATTAATATTTTATAAAAATTATTAATCGTCCATGAAGTATTGACATGAAATTGTCGACTCGTAGATATCAATACAATCGATAAACTTAAGCAAAGAAATTGAAAACTTATTTGGCAAGTATAGAATGTACATATTAAATAATCAGAAATAATTTATGTTTTTTGTTTATTAATTTATCTTAAATATTTACTTTGGTGTTATTTACCTTTATTATTTTATTTATCACTTTAAATACAAGCGCTCATTTTTCAAAATGATTAAGTATGTAAATAAAAAAATTTTAATTCATTAGTTAAAAGAATTGTTTGAAGCTATCGAGTATAATTGAAGTTGGCAATTCTAAATGAAATTCATATACAATTCCAATTTGACTTCAATATTTATGAAGAGATTCTGGTATAAAATTAAGAAATTTGGGTTAGCATAAATATATTAACTCAACAATAAATATAATATATAATAAATAAATAACACAATAAATATAATAATATATTTAAAATAGCATATTAATAAAATATTTCTATAACCTTGACACATAATTTAAAACAAACATAAGTTATGTGAAATGAACTAAAATATTTTTGAAAATTATTTTGCGATGAAACAGATATTTCAGCATAATAATGGACAAAATATGACAAAGAAGAAACAACAAAGTTGTTATTTTAAATACTTTATGCTTAAAACGATATGTAAATAAATAGTTTTTGTACTTCTTTGATGACTTATTTGTGTTCTAAATATTTTAATTATTTTCATAAAAGCCTTGAATAATAAATATAAAAACTATTTGTAGTTTACTGAATTTGGTAAAATATAAAAAAAATATCTTAGAATAACAAATTGTTAATGTTACCTAAATAATATATTGTATTGAATATTCCTTTATTTTGAATATTCTGAAAAGAAAGAATTCTAGAAAAAATTTATTACATAAATTTAGTATGGTATAAATAAAAATAATTTAAGTTTATAATCCAAACATTATATAATATTATTATCTTTTTAAATAAATAGCGTATTTAATATGTAAAATTTAATATAAATACAATATTAATATTTATGCACATCACAGTACAGTAAAAAATATATAATTAATGTCTTTTGATTAAATTAATTAATCACGAATTACTATAATTCTTACTAATACAATCGAAGAATATATTATATAAATAGAATGATTGCAATTTATATGAACAAATTAAATATTAAATATTATAAATGTAATGAATGTAGACAATAATGAAACTGAAATTATGAATATGAATGATTATATTCACAACAAATCATGAGTTAGAAAGAATTGAACATAAGAATCTAAAAAAAAAATTAATCATTTTACGGATTATTTTAGGTAAGAAATATATTAATTAACAATATATATAAAAAAATTAAAAATTGGATAATTGCTAAATTCCTTGAATTTTATTTTATCTATATAAAAATTAATTTTTTTCAAGGCAAGTTTGCCTAATACAAATAATTATTAAATTTATTCAATCTTATTAATTTACTTATCCTTATTAATTACTATAACCTTGCTGTATTACTGATAAAGTTCTAGAAAATAATATAGAGTATTTACACAATATAGGAAATATTATTAATAATATGACATCTTAAAACATTATTATAGAATAGTTAATAAAAATTATTATATACTAATAAAGAAGGAGGTAACTATAAATTGTGTAATTCACATTTATGGTTTACTGTTAAAAAGTTTTTTGCATTTTTTTTAATTCTTTTTCAATACTCAAAAATTTTTCTAAATTAAGTTTCAATACATTTTATGCAAAAATGTTTTTTTTTTGTGAATTGTTAAAATTGTTTCTTATTTTGCTGAATATTAAATGAATAACAGAATATAATCATTTATGATTATAAATAATATAGGGCTCATTATATAAAGAAGTTTTTTATTACATTTTTTAAACAAACAAAAATTTCAATAGTACTCCGTAATTAAAAGTAATTGAAAATCAGTAAATTTATCTTTACTATTTATATCCAATATATGTCAATAAATTACATTATAAAATATACTAATAAATATAATGCCATACCGAGCTATAGTCTATAAAATCATTATTATATATTATAATATAATATATTTATATATTATGCTTTATTATAAATAACTATATCTTATATTTAAGCAGAAGTTTTATGTATCACTTTAATTTTTTTTTAATTATTTATTTGAAATAAAGATTATAAATGAAAAATAGATAAACCCAATAATATTTTTGAAAATGAAGTCGAAAATAAAGTACATAAAATTCATTAATCATTATCTATAAAAAAATATGAATTCACAATGATATTAAAAATTCTTCAATAGTTTAGTTGAAAATTCATTAACATTTTAAAGCTATAAATTATGAAGACATATTTTCTCTGTCCATTACAGTTATATTATTCAGTTATTGCAATGACCATAGCAACAGTTTTACAAGATGAAGGTCAGTATCTATCGGGAAATCGTTCGCTTCCTAAATCAAATAGCGTACTTGAATCAGAAGTATCTCCTGGTAAGTAATTATTAAAAATATTTTCTATAAGTAAATGAAACACTTAATAATATCTTTAAAAAATAATTATAGAGTATTTATCTAGTTTATTAAAAATATTCTTATTTTTTCAGCTTCAAAATTGTAATTCATTTTTTTTTAATGTATTAAGAATTCAAGAATAATTAAAAGATAAATGTAACAGGCATAAATTACTTTTCTTTACTTTTCTATACTGTATGATTAATTCTTTATTTGTTTTATGTTTTATGTGTTTTATATAATAAGTTCTTTCATATTTTTAAATCAATGCCAATTTTTTAAAAATTTCTTATATTTTATACTAGATTTAAGTTTACTTTTAGAAATATATAAATATACTTTTAGTATATTCTTTTTACAAACAATTTTTCAATAATTCATTGATAAAATAATTTAAAATAATAATTTCTTAATAATCCTTTTCAGTAATTACGTAGATATTGTTCAAAAATCTAATTATTTACAATATTTATCTTTGTTTTTAATCATTTATATATTTCATATGCTTACCTTAGAACATTAGTTTTCTGGTTGTTTACTAAAATATTTCAATATTTAAACGATCTGTTGTATTAAAATTTATTTGTAATATAAGTTGAAATGCGTTCCTTTTTTTGTATACTTCCACACTTTTCTTAACTGTTTTTCAATTCTTTATTCTTCACTTTATTTTTAAGTCACTCTATTATATAATTTATTATTATGTTTCAGATTTGTATGATTTCGCATTATATTTCGTTATTTATTAACTTTTATGAATATTATTTTTATTTAATATAATTATCAATGGAATTTCTATTATTATAATAATAACAATTTCGTTTGTCATGTTGATCATTATATGCAATTTCAAATTTTTCCAAATTATTTGTAAATTATTGTAAAACTTCTTTTTATTACCTGTCAAATTATTATAATTTGCTAATCATTTTTTTTATGTTTTCAATATTATCAAATTTTTGTTTTTTCTTTTTTTACTAACACTTATTCTACATATGTTTAAACTTTAATATACTTTGAATACAAATAATTTTTCTACTTAAAATTCTAATAAAAAATGTGAATTCATATTAATCTAATAATTAATTAAAATACATTTAAAATGTCTAATATGTTCTTTTTTTTATTCAAAATATTTTTTTGCATATTTCTTTAATTAAATTCTTGTAAATTTAAAATTTCGAAGAAGAAAAATATCCTATATTTTTTAAAATTATAATATATATAATTAAATTAAAAAAATCATTTCTTAAATTAAATATACTCATCACATGGATACGAACTTTTCTATTTATAAATCATTAATTATTATTTTCCAGTAACAATGAGATTTAACATCACACTTCTTATATGTTCTTCCTGCGGTGTTGTTTGCTGTTTGTTACTACTATACGGACTATTTAAGGTATTTTACTTAATTTTTATTACTAAATTGTTTATTAAATATTCTTGAAATAAAATAAATAATAAAGTTATTGTTTATATTATTATTGTTTAATCAATGAATAATAAAACTAAACTTATCGTTATTTATAATTAAAAATTAAACAAAAATTGATATTTATATTTACATTCAAATTTAAAATTTGTTATAAATCCTAACATTCAATTTTTTTTTATAATAATTATTGTATATAATATTTATATACAATATAATAATAATTTATAATAATAATAATCTATAATAATTATAATAATTTATAATAATAATCTATAATAATAATTATATAATAATTGTTGTATATAAAAATAATAATTTTTTAATGAAGCTATCTATATCTATAATAACTATTTAATTTGTTAGTAAAATAATATAGAAGATATAGATATACAGTAAATAAAAAAAAAATATATTATTTACAAAACAAGAAATACAAGAAAATTCTTTATCGTAAATATTTCTATATTTATATGATTGATCATAAAAAAATAAACACTTTTTATCTATTATTTGATATTTACAAATACTTTAAAATTACGTGGCGTATGATTAGAATTGTATTGTAATAAAATAGTATATTTCTTACCATTAATGTATTAATTAATGAAAGGTATTTCTTCTTAAATAATAATTAATTAAAGGTTGCACGATAAATATATGTGCTTAGAAACTATTAGACTTTCAAAATTTTTTTATAGTTAAAGGAAAAAATCATTCTCTATCTATCCATTACATTGATAAAATAATTAAATCAATAATTGTATCAATAATTAATTTTCAAGACTGCTATTCTCTTTTACTCGTCGTTATTTATTAAGTCAATCAAAAATGGGAATAATTAGAAAACTTAATTTTATTCCACGTATATTCTAAAAAAGAAGAAAACTTGCATATATATTACGCATTTATTTTCAATTATTAAATCAATGAATCTAAAGTAATTATGGTAATATACACTAATGTCGTTATTAATGATGTTATTTATAAAAAATTATACATATTAAAAAGTAGGTCTATTAATTATTAACTCAACGTCATTATTGTTAATTATTGTACATCAATAATAATATCTTTTAAAATACTTTTAAAATATATTATGTTATGGTTTAATGTATTAATAAAAAATAAACTTAGTAAAATATACAGGCTATCATAACTTACTTGATATCATATCTTTCAATTATTTTATTTTTTATATGCTTTGAGCCTTAAATTTCCAAAATTTTGTTAAAAAAGATTTATTATCCAGTTTTAATAATTTTTATCATTTAATTTCAAATGTAAAACTATAATATAATAATATCGCTGTTTATACACAAAATATGTAAATTTATACTCTCTAAATAATTGAGATTTCTAAAATTTTCTAATAAATTTTTTTTTCGAAGAAATTTTTATTATAAAATAATTTGCAATATAAATTACTCTTGGATATGCAAAATATTATTATATTGAAGATACTTATCAATGAACAAACTAAAATTTTAAAAATTCAATTTTCGACAAAATTTCAAACTACCCTACCTTTTTAATATCTCCAATTATAGTATACAATTATAATTTATAAATTTTTTACAAAAAAGAATAATGGTTTCAATTCAAATAAGAAAATATATCATTAATCTTGAAGTACTGAATTGTATAAATTATTTGGCATATACCTTACTTCAATCTGGACTTATTTAAAATAATATAAAAAAAAAGAGTTCAATGTAAATCCCTATAATATGTCGACTCTCTTTTATCCTAAATTAATATGTCCTCTTTTTGTTTTATAAATATCATAAAAAGATTGATTTCTCTATCTTAAAGATTAAAAATATTTCACGTACATCTTTAATTCAATTTTGTTATGTAATCATTACTTATAATAACACAATTTCACTAAAATAAATATTTATTAAATTGATTAAAAAATTTACTGTTTTATCAATGATAAGATAAGTTTAATATGGTAATAAAATGTTGTAGTTAGAATATATAAGAAATAATTCTCATAAATTAATCTAATTTTTTGATAAAAAGAATTAGCATCGAAATTTGGCAAACTGTAAAAAATTAATATTATTAAATAAATAAAATCTATATATAAGTCAGGATAAGTATAATATAAAATAACACTTAATAGCTGTTTGGACTATTTAGAGTTTAAATGTTTACAATTTAGCAAGAGTTTAGCGAAGACTGCAACTCATCAAAGAAAAAAACCTGGATATATATATAAAAGCTTAAAAATACAATAAAAAAATAGATGAAAATTGTGATTGCATTGATGCTGTATTATTAAATAATTAAACTATTTAATAAAATATTCGATCTTCTATTTTTTAAATAACCTAAAAAAAGTTAGCCACATTCGAAAAACAACGATATAATGTAAACGAAATAATGTAACGAAATAATGTAAAATATTTGAGATTCCTTATATTTGATAAATAACAAGTTTTTATGTTTTATTCATATAAAATGTGGTATGAAATGTAAATTTAACTTAATCAAAAGGCAAGTTTAGCATATATTTTAAATAAAATGAAATTTTAATATTTCATATATAATAATAGAAGCAATAAAAATAACATATAACAAGATTTTTTCATAAATCTTTAATAAATTTAATTGTATCGAGAATTTTTTTCTAAATTTTATGAAAATACAGTATATAAAAATTTAATTAGTATTTTAATAGTACTAAGCCTTATTAAGTTGATAATTTTATAACATTTAAATTCATTACGTTCCGTGTATTATTCGCTTATCAATAGTGATCATATATATAATTAGGATATATATAATTAAAAGAATAACATAAATAATATTATATAACTATGTCTAATACTGTAATACTGTAATCTAACCTTGTAGAAAGAAATATTGACAGCATTCAATTTCAAAGAGACTTATAGAATGCATTTTAATTATTCTCTCTTTACTAATTCAAGCAAAAATTAAGATTTTAGATAGTAATACCAACAAATTTAGTGTTACTACGCGATTATCTATTTTTAACTTTAATAAACATATGTAGCTATAAACAAATATTCTTTTATTTATACAATTATAAAACTCTTAAACTATAATTCAACAAAAATATTAAGAATTATCTTTCAGTTATTGAAGAACAAATTAAAATTCTAAAGCATATTAAAACAATACAGTAAGCGAATGAATTCAAATTTTTGTATATACATAAAAATTTTAATTATTCAGCAATAATAAATGTTATTTAATGAACGAAGTATTTTCAAGGAATTATTAAATTGTCTAATGGAAAAATAATATATATTACTAACAATAGTCCATAAAATATTACTATAAAATACTATAAGATCCTTCCAACTCTTTTTCAAATTCTATCCTATCATATTAAGTTAGCTTAAAAGTCTTTCTAGATAAATATAATGATACATAAGTAACAAGTATGATTTAATTTGCAGGATGAAAAGCTGTTACTGGTACCATGGATTATCATTGTGATTATTTGTAGCTTTGTTGACATATCACATTTAATATATTTATTTTTCTTCGTTTCGGTGAGTAACTTTCCTTTTTTTTGTCTTACATATTTAGAAGCATCTAATTAATACAACAAATTCGGTTACACAAAAACTTTCTTTAATCCCTATTAATTAAACGCTTGTTGATGTTGCATTAAGAGATATATTCCATTACAATATCATATAAACTTCTTGAAAACAAAAACCTTGAAAATAATATAAAGTTAATTTGAACTTTAACTAAAATATATAATAAAATTAACGCACTGAAAATGTTTGAAATGTGTGCTGTTGCTCAATGATGAATTAATAAAGAAAATAGATTAGAGTCAATAGTTGGTAAGAAATAATTTCAGTATTACATAAAGCTTCATAAAATAAAATATTACAATTTAATTTCTATTGTTTGTAACATAAATTATTATATAAAGCATTATAATAAAGTATTATATCTGTCAAATCATTTAACCAACTAATATTTTTTTTAATCGAATAAAATAATTATTTCATTCCATATTATTCTTTAAAATTTTTTTAATATTTCACAACTACTTATGTAATAACGCGATATTTATTTGTTCGATTTTCATATTTATTTATAACACATTATTCAAATGGAATTTTCTCACGCAAAAAATAAAGTGAATCTCACTCTGACATTCTTTAATTAATCAACTTCCGGCATTATTATCTTTTGAACATAAAACTCATTTTCTGGCATTATCCTTACTAAGATATATCATAGCTTTCTACGTTATCCTCAAAACTACTACAAGACACGCTCTCAAAAGGAATTAATAACTTGAATTTAGCCAGCATCATTTAACAAATATTACTTTCTTTCCAAGTTTATTGGAATAGAAATTCTCAATACAATATAATTAAGAAATAGTAGAACTATACAAACTTTATTAAATACAAACTTTGTTTAAAGTAGATAAAGATAACGATAACTTTTAAAAATATTATAATTTGAAACGAATATTTAAAAAATAATTTTGTAAATATAAATAAAACATAAAATAACGATTTAATTTATAAAATTTTTATTTTTAATATTTAAAAAATAAGAAGTACTTTATAAAACAAATATCAGATAGGTTTTTAAGGTGCTTTCTAAACTGTCGTTATATAGATATAACTATATTATATACTTTTATATAGATATATGTATACAATATATATTTTTTTAAATTAATTTTGAATTTGAAACTATTAAATATTTAATAATTAATTATTCAATATGTTAATATTATGACGCAATAATAAAATTATTAAGAACTAAAGAAATTGAACTTTATAAGTTAAAATAAGTTATTGAAAATATATTAATGGCTTTGATTAGCTAATACTAGTAAAAACGTATAATATTAAAAATGGTTTTTTAATACGTACAACCTGGAATGTATACGACATTTATATCTGCATGCCGATAAGGATTTGAACCCTTTTCTATACATGCATGCGTATTAAAATAAAAAGCATATAAAGATCTACTTCCTTCTGTTCGTCGTATCATATAAATAGATTCATATAAATATTGATAAGTATATATAAATATACACGTCTTTGTTAATTTGATTTAATGATTTTCGCTTATTTACTTTCTTAATTTTATTTAGATACAGATAATAAAAAATTATTTATTAATGTACAAGCATTTTAAACAGATATCTATATGGAAACCATCAAATAATAAACTCCAGGACGTCTACATCAATTAGTATACAATTCATGTTAAGTGCCTGTCCATCTTCTCAGTTTGAATTTTCCTTTGAAATTTACTCTCTCACTTTGGACTATACTTAATTCATACTTAATATTTCGCAAATGTTCCGCTTTTTCATTCGGACCATTTAAATCAATAAACATTGTATGAAAAAAATTTCGCATTTTCATACTTGTTCTACATTTATTCATTCAATATCAACTAGTTAATAAATGGCTTAGCTACTAATGTAGATCATAAAATTTCAAATTTTCAATTTAGTTTCGATATATAAGAAATAAAGATAAATTTATTAATAGCCAGTTAAAATTATTAGATTGAAGAAAAATGAGGAACATATAAATTTTTAGAATAATCGATATAAGACAATTATTAATATATTATAAAAAATATTAAATATGATGAAAAAATTTTAAGTTAAATTAAATATTAATGTTTTAACAATTAAATTGAAGGTAAACCCATTTGTTTATGAAATTTAAAATTAAATTCATTCAATTTCATTTTTAACATTTGTAACAAATAGTTTATAAGTAAATTTAATATGTATGGCTATTAACTGTAGTTGTAATAATTTAAAAAATTTTATTTATTTATCAAAAAATCGAAATAATTGGATACGTAGTATTAATACCCGATCAATACTCGATATTAACAATACCATTTTCGATAAAGCGGAGAAACAATGCATGTTATGATCCTCTTGTAAGCAAATAGATCGATTATCTTGTACTAGTCAGAAACATTTAGTTGTTAATTTAAATAAGAAATTTATAATTATATATTGATTCGTATTTTATACAATATAAAAAATTAAATATATATAATACAGTAATTGAAAATTACATATAATAGTATATGCATATATAAATTGTAATTAAAATTTCTTTTATTTTAAAATAATGTTGGTTTCATTTGTTCTAAATTTAATTTAATTAAATATGAATATGTTATTGAGTTTTAAATTTATATAATTATATATTTTTCAATATTTTCGGTATTTATATTATAATAAAATTTTTTTTATAACGTATGAATAAATCAAATAAATAGTATAAGAATTATTAGCGATTCTATTGTTACGAACTAATTAAAATAACTAAATAACTATTAAATTATATACACTAATTTTAATACTAATCATATCTTTTTTAAATGAATCTGGCAATATTCATGAACAAGTACACATAAGTAACTCAAAAATAACTAATAAATGAATGCATTAAATAAAGCATTTAAACAATCAAACTTAAACAGTATATTCTTTTTTACTTTTAATATCATAAATGAAATTTTTTTTATTTTGAAAAGATATTTTAATTTTTGTATTAAATATAAAAATGTAATTTTTGGTTTAAATAATTCGCTTCTACTATCACACATTATTTGAATACATATATTTTAAAAAAATAGTATATAATTTATAATCAAAAAATATAAATCAGTCAATTATAATCCATTTTTTAATTGCAATGTATAAATATTCATCGTGAATGATATGATTAATGAAGAATATTGATAAAAATTAACATTAATAAAAGTTCGATGGTGATGTCGACAAATTTATTGAAATTTATAATTACTTAAAATATATTGTTAATATTATTAATCTATATTTCACATAATTACAGTTCAATTTGCAAAATCACTTAAGAGATTATTATAGAGAATCCTTCAATAAATGAATCTTTATTGTATTATGATTCGTGTGATCAATATGAAAATGTACTTATTAGGGGAGTGAAATATTTTACAGAACCTTTTTTTTTAAATAATATATCATGTTTTCAAAATAAAAATAAGTTTTTTATTAAATAATCTTATACATTTATAGGTATATTATTTAATGATTTTTATATATGTATTAAATAAATATATTAAATTATATTAATATATTTATTTAAACATTTTTTTACAACTGAAACTATTTTTATATTAGAATTAAGGAAAAATAATTGGTATAATATTGAAATTATTCTGTCCCGGTTGCTGTATAAATATATTCAGATTATTGAAACAATAGAACTTTAATAATAAAGACAACAATCTTATTAATATATAGATAGTAATATAAACGGATTTATTTATATTTATTGTATACTTTAGTCTCATACATATTTTATATTCATGTGCAGTATTGTAAAATTCTCACTAATTTAGCAAATAGCTCACTTTGAAAAATAATATTTAAATTATTCTTTATTACTCAAGATAAAATATTGTAACTATTTATCTAACAATTAATAACATTATATGAGAAATCTTTCGTATAAAATTATAATTAAAAAATTGTATTCATTTACTCTTTTCAATTATATTCTTCTTAAAATATAGCAATTTGGAAATAATTACAAACTACATGCGCAAAGTATCGATGTATATATTTATTAATAATTTTTTTTTCATTTAATAATAATGAATAAGTAAAAAGTCCTAACTTTATATGTTTCAGCTGGCGTTTAATCCTATAACTGCTATGGTCCTCACAATTGATTTTTTTCTTTTATGCTTGAACGTGAGTAATCAATATCACTCTATTAGCGCTATTCTCATTTCACTACATTATAATTACGCTATATAAATCACTACTTTTTGTTCAGATGCCATCAAAAACACATACACGCTTTTATTAGTAAATCTTTCTGCACGTTTACTATCCATATACAGAACATCTTTTGATCTAATTCAGTTTTATTTATCATGTGTACAAATGAGAGAAAGAGAGAGAAAGAGAGAGAGAGAGAGAGAGAGAGAGAGAGAGAAAGTGAGAGCGATTGTGTGTATATGTGCAAATAAAAAAAAGTGTGTTCGGTATAACTTTAAATACATTTATTCAGGCAAACATGTAAGAGAATCACATTTATTTTTATTAAATGAAGAATAAAAGTTTTAGAAAAATAAATGAGAACTAGATAAATTACTAATATCATTAATATTTTAAATTAGTGTTAAGAAATTAATAAAGTTATAATACGAAACATAAAAGTAATGTATGAACTGATAATACATATTATTTAAAAATATTATTTTATTCATTATCATAATGACAATTACAGGTTTACTCAGTTTTATGCGTTATTTCACAATATCAAGAATACGCTACGGGTCGCGGTACTGCATCAGATGACTGTGAACAAAGGGTTAGCATTACATTAATATTATAATTAATTATTTTATATCCATAAGTCTTTGAAAAATATTTTTATAATTAAAGGAATATTAATTCAAATATATAAATTATAATTTATTTGACTAATTAACCATTACCTTAATTTAATACATTATGATGAGGCGAATATTTATTATTTATCATTATTGAAAATTAAAAAGCTATCTTATCTAGATCATTAGTATAGTACAAAAAATCATAACATCTGCAAAATTTCCCAATTTAAGAACTCAATAGAAATAACTATAATAACCATAAAATTACATGAATAAGAGACTAATAATTTAACATGAAATATAATATAAACGCAGATGCAGTAAAAGCATTCATGGGATCTAAAGTTTCTTACTATATGTTGAAATATTTATAATAACGATTTTAAAAGAATTCTATGAAAACTTGAGTACCAAAAGGCGCACATAAATAAGCTGCTTCGTGTTTTTAAATAAAAAATAATTTAATACAGACATTTTTTTCTTCGAATCTGGACAATCCTTTGTATTAATTAACATATTTAACGATTATACTATGTCTTAAGAAAAAGCAAATGTTTCGTAATTTTTGAAATAAAAAATTTTAGCTTAATAATCATATTTGAAAAAAGAAGCATTCTAGGTCAAAGTCAATAATATTGGTTAGTAATCAAAATAATGCAATTACCGATTATAACTTCTACTTATCTATCTTATCTTTATAATTGTTTCGACATAACATAGTGAATACATTTTAAAAATTGAAATAGTATTTACAATAAACAACACAAAATTAATAATCCAATAATAACCGATCTAAACCGTGTGCTGATAATCATTTCGACACTTTAATTTCACGAACCTTCATTTCATCGCTACAGTTTTACTTTGTCCATACAGATCGGGATATATAACGATTAAAATTAATCCTTTCTTATTTAAATAAAATAAATAAATAAAAACATTCTGAATTTAATCTATATAAATTTTAAGTATTATCTCTACTTACATAATTTATAAACAGAACTTTTTATTCAATATATGAAATATCCTTTAATCTTTGCTATATAATTTATTTTATAAATTCTGTTACATTATCCTTTTCCGTATAACGCTAAGTCAACATTTTTATAGCTGAAAAATATTGAATGTTTACTAGAAAAATAAATTACCATTACACATAATTATTAAATCAATACATACGTACCTTCACAAGCAGCAAGGTAGGTATACCTGGTAAACTAAAATCGGAAATATACGAATGTGATGCGAATAGAATGAAGAAAAAAGAAAATCTTGAAAGAAGTACTTTAAAACTATGAATAATCCATCACAGTTAATATAAGATTTTGAAATATTTTAATTGAAATTATTGTCGAAAATTTTATTAATTGAAAGAATGCTATTACAATATTTGAAATCATCATGTTCAGTATTTCATATTTTATTTAATTACATAATAAAATTAACATTAAAAATTAAAAAATATATTCGACAATCTTTTACGATAGTCTATTTAAATAGTATATTAATATTAGTATTTATATTACAATAAAACCAAATTATTTAATATTCTAAATTATTCACAAATAATTCAATTAAATATTCAATTATCAATAATATCAATTAGTTATAAAATTATTATCTCAAAACATATTTATAAACAAATAGAATTTAATAATTATAACATTCATGACAGACGGGAATAGAAAAGAGGGAGAAAGAAGCTATCAACTGCTATATGAAAAATAGAAATAGTTATATAGCTGTACGTAAACAAAGATATAGCTAAGAAAAATATTATCAGATATTTTTATATTGATTATACTAATTACATTTATCAACTGAATATAATTTAATATATTTATTAAAAAAAATTAATATCAAAATAGCTATGGGAAACGACTATTAATTGACATTGAAGAGAAGGTTTTCTATAAATTCAACAGTTACATAATCAATTATAAAATTTTTAAATTAGCTTACCGAATTTGATGGAATGATACAAATGAGTAAAATTTTGAACAGCTTGAAATAAAAGACAAATTGTAGTAACCGTGTTTTAAAATATTACAAAAATATTGACTCTCATAATTGTTTAGGTTATTATATGTATTATTTTAATCCAAAATCATATTTAACTAAAATTGGTGCAAGTAATACTATTAATGATATATTTTTAATTTTTATATATTTTTATAATTTTTATAATTTTTTATTTATTTATACATTATTTTTCCAACTCAAATAGATTTATAAGGATTATGTATATTATCATTTGCATTCGTAAAAAATACAATTAACTTGAAGAAAATTAAATTTTCTTATAAAGAAATTTTACATTAATTTTTTTATATTTATGAAACAACAAATAGGTATTACTGCTTCTATTATGTGATGATTTAAAAATTTATTTTAATTTTGAAATCGAATGAAGGTTTTGAGTTTAATTAATTAATTTACATCATTTTTTATCGATTTTAAATAATATCGCTTTCAATTTTTCATTCTATACAATTACAAGCACATCGTTCAATCAATAAAATTTAGTTAATAAAGAAATAAAGAATCGAGGCAATTACAATTCAATTGCAATTATCAAATTTAATTGAAAAGACAAAGATCGCATTGGGCAAAAACATTTGCTCTTAGAAATAGAAGCATTATATTTGAAAATATATTTGAAAACGGTCGATGGTAATATACCGTAGGTACCGGCAATTCGATACACCGTACATCCGACAACAACAGCAACATCTTGTCAGAGTTCGCGTCGAACCCAGGTAAACAATGAAATATGGATAACGCCGACGCCGACGCCGACGACGACGACGACGACGACGACGACGACGACAATGATGATGACGAAGATGACGAAGATGAGGACGACAACGACAATGACGACGACGACGACTTATAGTCCAATAACTTTCTCCAAACAGCTGACGGTCCAAGTCAGCTCTAGCAATGATATACCAAATCGCAAGCACGTACAATTTCCTGATTCGACCTCGGGCAGCCTTGTGAATAATAGAACAGGTCTGTTTTATTATTTCACCTCGTTGTGTCCTTCCTTATGATCATCTAAATTAACGACTTTTCACGCAGACGAGGGAATCAGCAAGAGAATTGAGTACGTAAAAAATTAGAATGATTTATAAATCATGAAAAATATGCTATAGTGCATAAAGCTGATACATAAAAATTTCATTTTTTAAGCAATATCTTTCAATTAAATGTAAATGTAAATGTAAATTATTTGTATATCTACAAAAAAAAATTTTAGACATTTTTTTTATGTTGTTTACAATTCAAATTTAGGATAAACTGTAAGGAATATACTTAATTTATTATTACTTTAATTTCTAGTTAACGATCATACAACAGCATGTGCATAAAAAAATATTTCAAAGTCATACATGATATAGCGATAGAAAAATATTTAACTTAATATTTCATTTATTAATATTTTATAGAATAATTATATAAATTTTCAATAAGAGCACTAAAGTATTTTTTATAATTATAATTGAAAAATTATATATTTATATATAAAAAATTATAAAAATTATATATAAAAAATTGAAAATTTTGTAATTGAAAACTATTAAAAAAAAAAATATTAATATTAATTTTTGCTTGAATAAGAACTGATAACAATTAAATCATTACAAATAATAAAATGAAATAATACAAATTAATTTGAATACAAATACCTATTTTATAATGAAATTTACATTTATAATGAAATAATTTTATTCTTAAACACTTTTCAATTACTATTAGACATTTAATTCTTAACAAGTATTTATACTTACAGTGAACTCTGTAAATACATTTTTATAAATTAAATTTTTGTAAAAAATATAGTAGAAGAAAATGAATTGTATTAAAATATTATATTTTATTGTAAGTATTAAGTTATAATAAAAACTTAATTATTTTAGACAACAAATTTAAGCATAACACTGTATTATGTTATATTATTAGTATTATTATTATTATGAAACTCTGTTATATCCTGATCCTAATATAATAAAAATATAATATTTCTTACTATTAAAGAAATAGATTGCTTACTTTACAATCGAATAATTAATGCTCACTTGGTTAATTGCATATTTTTAATACCTCGAATTGAGGCTGTGGAATTTTAAATTGCTTAATATTCTTTGCAATTTTCAGTTAAAATGAATTTCAAAAGGTATCTCTATTAAAATTTATTCAATTATAACTTGGATATAAAGTTATAAAATATAAAATAATTTAATTATTATGTTTATAGCCGTAATTATTATTTATCAGTAACAAATTTTGAAATTCTTCAAATTTTAATTTGAAATAGGATTTTAATGTAAATATTAAATTATTAACTGAAATGAATTATGCTATTATTATATGATGTATAAGATCAACAAGAAACAGTGGAAAACTATAAAATATTTTAAAATTATAAATTATCTTTATAGCGTATAAAAAATGATATAAAAAT